AAATATAATACTTTTAGACTATTCTCTCCCCCATAGACTTCAATGCCGTAAACATATTTCATCCAGTTTTTCTCATTTACAGAGAATTTGGATTTCCATTCATTCATTGCTGCATAAAGTCAACTCTTACTGAACATCTTTGTGGTTGGGGAATTCTGAAATTAGAAATAATGTGATTGATTAATTCATGCTAAATCCTTTTTCTTAAACTTAGAACACTTGGAGGTCATTTTTAAAAAAAATTATTATTATTATTAATTTTAATGAAAATTTACAGAGATTTTTGGATTTCCATTCATTCATTCATTGTTGCACTTTTCTCCCTGCCCGCCCCTCCCCTTCAGTTTGTTCTCTTTGAGAAGTAAAATTCTTTCATTGTTATACAGTCCCGTCCCCCCCCCACTCCACTATGCAGCCTTCGTTCTGGACTCATGTCATGACAATAATACTTAATCATATATATTGGAGGTCATTTTAAACCTGATTGGATCAGTGAGGACTAGTGTTAGCTGCTTGTGAGGGAGACCCAAGTGTACTGGAGTCATAGTGGAAGAGTTCTTCCCACATGTGACAAGTTGCCCACATGCAGGCATTCCATGCTCATGATGCTTTGTGCCTGCAAATTCTTCTCTGTTCTGCCACTGACCACAAGATGGTGCTCACACCCCCTGACATCTGCACTGGAGGCAGGAAGGGAGAGAGCAGACAGTGAAAACGCTCATACCCTCACTTGTGTCTTCTTATTAGACTGGGACACCTGCTTACCCCTAGGCGCAAAGGAGTCTGGGAAGCCCATGATTTTAAGACGATCAGATTGCCGTTGCAGACAAAGCTGAGAGTCAAACAGGGATGTAGAAGCAGAAAGTGGCCATTGGCCAAGTGGCTAGTAGTGTCCATTATACTTGTTTAGTCATTTATTGATTGTTCTGAAGTTTTTAACTACAGCTGCTGTGTTAGTTTGTGTGCAAAAAGTTAAGAAATGTTTATTAAACTTATAGGAATGAAGTGAGGACATTTAGCTCATAAAGCAGTGATGCTGTATTAGGTTCAGAGAAGGCAGACCATATTTCTGACACTTATTAATCAGTTACTTTGTCCTACATGCTGTGTGAAACATTCAAATTGGAAGAAAGGTTTCACGATCCACTTCCAAAAACCAACTGATGTCACCCCTATGGCTTTGTAGCTGATCATGGGATGGTGCAGGAACAGAGAGAGCATTTTGTTCTGTTGTGCATGGAGTATCCATAGTTTGGGGGCAAATGATGTTAGCTAACAACAGCATCCCTCTTTTGTAAATTGGTCTCCAATAAGTCTTTTCAAGTTCACACAACTGGGAAATGACAGCCAATATTCAAAACCAGGTCTTGGGGGGTCCCAGAGCCCACCACAGGCTGTTGGTTGCTGGATCAGGAAGGTGAGAGCGCCCCCTTCTTTAATACTCTCTGTGCTCCCCTCTCCCATCTCTCCGTCTCTTCTGTTTCAGAGGGAAAAGGATTTTTCTTTACCGTTGCTGACCTGCAAGCTGGGGTAGTGCGTTACCATCATGACGACAGTGATTCCACCAAAGACTTCGTGGTCTTCAGGATATTTGATGGCCACCACAGCATCCGCCATAAGTTCCCCATCAACATTCTGCCCAAGGATGACAGTCCCCCGTTCCTCATAAGCAATGTTGTGATTGAACTGGAGGAGGGGCAGGCTGTGCTGATCCAGGGTTCCATGCTGACAGCGTCAGACATGGATTCCAGCGACGACTATATCTTCTTTAATATCACAGCCCCGCCACAAGCTGGAGAGATCATGAAAAAGCCAGGACCAGGACTCATAGGTAAGTGCCAGATCGTTAGGAGACTTCAAATGGAATTTATTCTTTTATAGAAAACTTTCTGTGCATATTTGTGGATTTACCGAAATGGTGTTAGAATTTTATGCTAAGATGGATATCACTTTCAGAAGGTAAAATGCTACTATTATTTCTATTTTATTAATGGAGAGTCTGAGGCTTGGTGAGGTTAATTTGATTTGTTCAATGAGCAATCCTAGGTACATCTAGAAACTTCCAGAACCAGGCCTGGAGGCAACCATAACCATGAAGAGTAGAGCTGACAGGGCAAATGGGTCTGTGAGTGGATGTTTGGTTAATTCTAGATTATTTATAAAGTATATAATATTAGTTCTTTACATGTTTTTATAACCATTTTACAAGTTCTTTTATAAGTAAGATATTCATCCATGAGTTTGGCAGATTAGGGATCAATTAGTAGTATTTTGTGTTTTAAATAAGAGTATGCTGCTTAAAATTTTTAAAATCACTATTTCCAGACATTAAGTGTAACTTATTTTTTGTTTTGGGGTTTTTTTTACTAATTTCTTTACAAAATTCTAATACAAATTTGAACAAATTATTTCAATTTCCCTTACCCCCCCACATCAAATTGTACAACCCAATGGTTAATCCCCTCTTCTCTCCCTGCACATCCACATCCCTCTGCTTCCAGCCTCTCCCACCCCTCCTGGATCCTAATACTCATTCTACAACAATGGTCTTACACAGTATTTATCCTTGTGGGACTGAGTTAGTTCACTCAGCATAACGCTCTCCAGTCCCTCCCAAGTTAGGTAATAATTTACAAAGTTATTGTTCCTGCATGCTGCATAGTATTTCATAGTATGAATGTACCATAATTTCTCAATCCATTCGTTTGTGGTTGGACATTTGGGCTGTTTCCGTGTTCTTGCGATAGTGAATAATGTTACTATGAACATTGGTAAACAAATCTCCATTTGTGCCTCGGTTCTCATATTCTCAGGGTATATTCCAAATAGTGGAATATCTGGGTCATATGGAATTTTTATGTTCAACTTTTTGAGGAAGCGCCAAAACTACCTTCCAGAATGGTTGCACCATTTTAAAATCTCAACAACAGTGTATAAGAGTTCCATTCTTACTACATCTTCTCCAACATCTATTACATGCTGACCTGTTAAACTTTGCCACTCTTACTGGAGTGAGGTGGTACCTTATTGTGGTTTTGATTTGCATCTTTCTTATTGCCAGTGATTTGGAGCATTTCTTCATGTGTCTGTTTGCCATTTGACTATTGTCCTCTGTGAAAATTCTTTCCATGTCTTTTGCCCATTTTATAATTGGCTTATCAGCTTTTTTCTTGTGGAGGCTCAGGAAGACAAGTGTAACCTTTTACATTTTTCTTAGTATTTGTGAGTTTGATAAAAGTATACTTATCAAACAAAGAGTCATTTAATGAAGATTTCCTGGATCCGTAGAGCACACTAGATAGAGAAGACATGTGGAGAACATTCTATCATTGTACCCTGATGTTTGGTAGAATCTTACAGAAGTATGTGGTGTTTGTGGACCCAACAGGCTATCCAGTCCCTGGCTTCCTTCAGAGGGATCTGTTTAATGGGCTCATTTACTACCGACATTTTGGTGGCGAGACCTTTGAAGACTCTTTTGAATTTGTCCTGGGGGATAGCCACGACCCTCCAAATCTTTCAGTACCTCAGGTAAGAGACAGTAATTTTGGAAGAAGTTACTAGAATTAATGTCTAAGATAATAATTGCCAGAGATTTATAAGAAACCATATGAAAACAACTTTCCAGAGTCAAACTTTGAGAAGCAAAATTAAGCAGATTTTTTAAAAAACAGTAAGACTACTGAAAATCATGACTTTGCTAAAGACTTAAAATTTCCACTTGCAATGCAATGCTTCTAAGATGGTTTCATCATGAGTATCTTTAAATAAAAACCTCACAAAGTTTGCTTGCCTCATGAAATGGGGAAAATTGGCTTTTTTTAAATTTATAGCAAATAGTACTTAAAGTGCAGGCTCTGGAGTTAAACTGCTCATGCTTCTCTGCCAATCTCAATAATACTTATGATTGATTTGTGCCTCAGTTTCTTCCTTTGTGAAACAGATAAGAGTAAAATTTGCTTATAGACTCCTTGGGGATGAGATAATACACAAAACACTGAGAACTTTCTGGTGGTTGGTGAATATACGGGAACTACATCATTATTAGTTACTGACGCTTTTAAATAAGAAGGGAGGCCATAGAGGCTGTGCAGCTAACCCAAAGGCAGCACTCGCTGCTTTGAATCCAGAAGGAGAAAGATTGGCAGTCTCCTCCTGCGGAATTTACAGCTGCAGAAAATCACTGGAGGGGCAGCTTCGAGTGAATTCTGACGTGATAGTAATGAGTTGAATTGAATTTGAGTTTGAAATAGAATCTTACTGCCACGTGAAGTTACCATTTAGGTATAGAGAATGCAGAAATAGGATTAAGTGGTCATTCTCACTACCAAAAAAACAAAGTCAAAGAAGTTTCTAAATACGTGTAAATTACTCTTATGGTGAAGAGCAGTTGGTGGGAAAGAGTGAAAAAAGCACTACTGAACTTAAGGGATCACCTACAATAGGTAATATTTTTTTCTAGGCATTTTGTACTTAGTATTTAGAAGTTAGTGTCTGTAGGGATCTAAGCAAATCTCCAGCCTGCTCTCTAATGACAACTGTCAGCATGTATCTTGTTGGTTTTACAGCAACTTTTCAGATGTCACTGTCACTGCCAAGGTCTAGATGATTAAGATACACTTGTGTGCTTAGAGGAAAGGAACAGGAAGGGATGGTTTGGCAGGGATGTCAGGGAGCTCAGAAACTGAAGGAGGTGGGCCGTGTGTGCTATGGATGATGGCTGGGGAGGCAATGGAGATGACAGAGGAAGCTCTGTTCATCTGCTTGTTGATTCACAAGTCAGCTCTAAACTAACATCTCTCTTATGAATGTATTCTGTGTCAACTAGATTAGATCTTAGTTGATTTGGTCATTCAAAATAGTAACTATTGTTAGGGTTTATTTAGAACTATTCTGTTATAGCTGTTGAGATTGAGTTATATTTATTTTTAGACAACTGTGTTATTTGGGGCAGATTGAAAAGACTCAGATGGTGTGGTGTGTTGGGCTGTTAACCTAAGGGTTGGTAGTTTGAATTCACCAGTGACTCCTTTAAAGAAAGAAGCCCATTCTCCTTTGATAAAGATTTCTACCTTGGGCCACCTGATGAAAGAACCGACTTGATGTTAATGGGTTAGGTTGTGGGTTTAGAATAGAGTACCAGAAAGAGAAAAATTCCAATCTGTGCTAGTCAATTCAATGGCAGGTGACAACAACGTGTCTTTTTAAAAACGGACACCTTGGAATTGCTTTTCCCTGCTTTTTCCCTGCTATGTTTTTTATAGATCATATTTTTTTCATAAAAACAAATATAGGCTATTTCTTCTGTTTGATGTTATGTGCCATTGAGTTGAGTGCAACGCATAGTGACCCTGGGAACGACAGGTCTGAACCCTGTCCTATCCTGCACCATCCTCATCATTTATTTTTTAAAAATTTTTTTCATCCTCATCAGAGTTGACACAATTGAGCCCATTGCCACAACCACAGTGTCAGTCCATCTTATTGACGTTCTCCCTCTCTTTCTATGACTCTCCCCCTTTTCCATGTGTGATGCTTCTTTCTAAGGAATAAAATGCCAGAGTATTCGAGATGTTACTTCACCATTCTTGCCTTTAAGGAGAACTCTGGCTAAACTTTATCCAAGACGCATCTCTTTGCTATTTTGGCAGTCCCAGGGATACTCAGTACTCTTCTCTGATACCATAGCTCAAAGGCATTGATGATTCTTCTGTCATCTTCATTCATTGTCCACCTCTCAGATGCATAACAGGTGATTGGAAAGACCATGGCTTGAATCAGGTGCTTCTTAGTCTTGAAACTGAAGTAATTGCTCTTCAGGACTCTGGAGAGGTTCCTGACAGTAGATTTTCCCAATGCTGTGCATCTCCAATATTTCCTGAATGCTGGTATAAAACTTTGTTGATTGTGAATTCTCTGTAAAAAAGACTATGGTAATAGGTACTTCACTGAAGTAGATTAAACTCTGCGTAGTCAGGTATAAGTTTGTTCCCTTTGATGATATGTTTCTTTTTTTATTTTTTATTAAATTTCATTTATTTTAATGAACATTGACAGAGATTTTGGATTTCCATTCATTCATTGTTGCACTATTTTCTCTACCCCTTACCCCAGTTCATTCCTCTTTCC